GGGGTTACAGGCGTAACCCACCTTGCCCAGTCTTTTTTTTTAAATGGATTTTTAGTAGAGATGGGATTTCACCATGTTGACCAGGATGGTCATGAACTCCTGACCATCCTGACCACTCCTCGGGTGATTCACCTGCCTTGGCCTCCAAAAGTGCTGGGATTACAGGTGTGAGCAAACCTTCTTTATTGATGGATTAATCTCATTGTTGTTAACACATTCCAGAATCTTTGATATTGCCAGAAATTAAGGAAACCACCCTTGAGCCCATCACCTCTCCAAGAGCTTTTAGACTATCTGCTTCCTTTTATTACTAAACTTCTCAATGATTTGTCCAAACATGAGGTCACTGCTTTCTTACTTCCCAGTTATCCCTCAACCCCTTATGATGTAGCTGTACCTCCAGCATTCCTAATGCCACCAGTGAACTCCATATAAATTAATTCAAAATATTTTTTCTATTCTTGTCTTACTTGACCTTGTTGCAGTATTTTGCATGGTTGGCCATTTGGCCCTTTCTGAAATAGCCTCTTTTCTGAGCTTCTGAGGCACTCTAGGTTCTTTGTTTTCTCCCTACCTTTTTGTTCTCCTCCTCTTATCAGACCTTTAAATGTTGACATTTCTCACATCTCCAGCTTAGGATTTACTGTCTTCTTTTTCATAGGATTTTCCTACGTGGTTTATTTTTCATGGAAAACAAACAAATATCTTTAAATGCTATCCATATACTGACAACCCACAAATTTATGTCTCCAACCCACACCATTTCTCTGAGACATCCATAGATGTATAAAATCTGATCAGTCTAGAACTAAAGTTTTGCTTTTTCTACCCTGAGAAATAATTTTTTTCCTTTGTATTTCTCATCCCACTATTTCCTCTTCCCTCCCTGTACCCACCCCCTGCACTGACCCTGTATCACAACAACCTGGGAGTCCTTGGCTTGTTCTTCTGACTCCCCACCCACAGCCTATTCATCTCCACAGGCTGACAATTCTACTCCCATTATCTACTCAAATCCATCTTCATTGTCTTCTCTTGACAGCATTCCCCTGGTCCAGGTCAATGGCATCTCTTTATTGGGTCTCTACAGTAATTTCCTAATTTATTTCCTTGTTTCTCCATTTATCTTATTCCAAGCTATTTTACACGTGCTATCCAGAATGCTCTTTAAAAATAAAACTCAATCATGTTCTTCCTTTGCTTACAACCCTTCGATGATATTTCCTTATGCTTAGAACTAAATTGACCCGAACCACAGTGTATGCCTTCTGTAACTGAGTCTGGGGCTGCCATGCTCCCCTTGCTGCATCTACACTGGCCTCCCTCCATTTCTTCAAACATAAAATTATTACACTGTGTCTGAAATACTCCTTCCACATGATTGATGTGCGGCAGCCACCTCTTTGTTCCTCAAGTGCCAGATTATAAATGACTATCTTGAAGACACTGCTATTTTCCTTAATAAAATTATATCATGTTTGCTTGCTACTTCTTTTTTCCTCCTGACTTCCTCTCCAGACTGCAAGGCTCATGAAGGCAAGGATGTTAACAAATGGAGATACATCCAACACATACCAAAGTGTCTGGCATGTGTTGTGTTTAAGAATTTGTTCAATAACTGAATCCATAAATTCTAGCAGACCAGGTCTCCAGTACTCTTTTGACTCCTGTTTTAGCGTCTGTACAGGTCAGAAGTATGATTCTATAGATCAGAGTGAGAGTTCTATGTTAATTATTACTTTGTGTTTTCTTTTTCTTTCTCTCTTCTTTTCCCTTTCTTTCTTTTTCTTTCTTTCTTCTTTCTTTCTTCTTTCTTTCTTTCTTTCTTTCTTTCTTTCTTTCTTTCTTTCTTTCTTTCTTTTTCTTTCTTTCTTTCTTTTTCTTTCTTTCCTTCCTTCTTTCTTTCTTTCCTTCTTCCTTCATTCCTTCCTTCCTTCTTTTCTTTCTTCTTTCTTTCTATCTCTCTCTTTCTTTCTTTCTTTTTCTTTCCTCTCTCTCCTTCTTTCTTTCTTTCTTTCTTCTTTCTTATGATACAGGGTCTTGCTGTCCAAGCTGAAGTGCAGTGGTGAGATCATGGCTCATTTCCGCCTCAATTTATTGGGCTCTAGTGATCCTCCCAGCTAACTTAAAGAATTGTGTTTTTTTTATAAATGTGGGATCTCACTATGTTGCCCAGGTTGGTGTTGAACTCTTGAGCTCAAGCAATCAGACTTGGAAAGTGCTGAGATTACAGGCATGGGCCACTGCACCCAGCCTACTTTGTGTTTTCTTACACATAACTATACCATTTGTCAAGGTGAGTAAAGAAAAAAACCAACAACTCTATTCCCTGACCCTCAAAGAGCTTGACTAAAATATGTTCCTTATACCATGCCTAACTTCCCATGAACTCTTAAAATTCTTAGCATATCAATCTATCAATTCATATCTTTTTTTTCAAAGTCCATTTTATTGCTTGTTTCCCCTGATGAAAGTAGGATGAAAAGGAAAAGAATAAATCTTACTATGGTCATAATTTTGTTAACACTGAGTGAAACTTCAGAAATAACTAGCCTATTTAGGCTATATGTACTTTGGAAATTAGAAGAAAGAAAATATGAGATGGAAAAGTGTTTACATTGCAGTAACCATGAAGCAGAGACCATAGATACCTATATCTTTTTAGAAATTGAAATATTTTAAGATAATATATAAGGATATATTAGTTAACAGTTGAACAACATGGGTTTGACCTGCATTAGTCCATTTGTATGAAATTTTCTTCTACTTCTGCCACTCCTGAGATAACATGACCAACCCTTCCTCTGCTACTTCCTAAGCCTAGTCAATGTGAAGCAAGGATGAAGGCCTTTATGATGATCCACTTCCACTTAATAAATAGTAAATACATTTTCTCTTCGTTATGATTTTCTTAGTAATATTCTCTTTCATCTAGCTTACTTTATTATAAAAACACAGTATATTATATATATAAAACATACAAAATGTATGTTAATCATTTGTGTTATTGGTAAGTCTTTTGGTCAATAGGAGGTTATTGATAGTTAAGTTTTGGTGACTCAAAAGTTACACCTGGATTTTTTACTTCATGGCGGAATTGGCACTCCTAACTCCACATTATTTAAATGTCAAGTGTCTGTGTTAACTACTTTCATAGAAATACTATTTTTTCTAAAATGACAATAATTTTTATATTTATTGCCATTTAATACAATCTTCCCTCAGCGTCCACAGGGTATTAGTTACAAGACCCTTGATAAATACCTCAATTCAAGGATATTTAAGTCCCTTAAATAAAATCCATAGTAATTTAATATAATATACTTGTCATATACTTGTGCTTCCCATATACTTTAAATCATCTCTAGATTACTTATAATACCTAATACAATGTAAACACTATGTACATAGCTGTCACACTGTACTGTTTTTATTTGTATTATTTTGTATCATTGTGTTGTTCTAGATTTTTGTTTTTTAATATTTTTGATGTGTAGTTGGTTGAATCTGCAGGTGTGGAACCCTCAGTTATGGAAAGCTGATGGTATTAGAAATAACATAAGCTGTAGTAGAAATTGGCAATGATGTTATTTTCTACACAGTCTTCAAACAGCATATTGAGCTAAAAGTTTATTTGTAATACATCTACAGCATCATGACAAGAATTCAATATATTTAATAAGTAGTTAGAGAGCAGACATTTCTCTTAGGATTATAGAAACCTATGACTAGGATTATTCAGGTGCCAACATTATTAAATAATATGAGAATTGAAAGAAAAATCAGTATAACATTTAAAATTCATTTAAATGCTCGATTTTAATAGGAAGAAGAAGTACATAAAACAAGGTAGAACTAAGTTAAGAACTGAGTCCTCACTTTATTATGTGCTAGCTAGAAATGCACTGGTTCTTTCCGTAAGTTTTCACTGTTACACTATGGAAAGTCTGGATTAATTTCTAAAATGCTGTGCAGTACACTTTTCCTTAACAGGAAAAATAAAATAAAGTGTAAGCTGAGAGATGAGAAAAGCAGAATAAACGTTGGAGTAAACATTGCAGCTGAAACTGAAGTAACCGAAGTGAAAATGTTTTCGTAATGAACTTTGATGTTTAACAAGCCCAGACACATGGAATAGCATAAGCTACATTAAAGGCTTTTATGAAAGGATTATGTTTCGTATGATGAGTGTTTTCGTATAAGTATGGTTCACAGCGTAAAATATAACTACATTTAACTCAAAGTAATTATGAGAATTCTGGCAAAATTATTTTCTCCTGTACTATCACATTGATACAGAAAAAAAAAATTTATTCTGGAATCTTTCACCGACATGTCTCTCTCTATTTCAATTATTTTTGGCAGTATATATTGCGTCTCTGCCTCAGCTACCTTTTATATCGACAGTTGGTAGCACAAGCCTTTTAACTCACAAAGGGTAGCAGCTCTTCAGCCAATCTGTGATAAAAGGGAAAAAATGAAATCACTATGGAAACTGCAGGAAGGATCTAAAAGCTCTCTTTATAAAGTAAATGTCTGATGTTTGTGACTGCAGGGGTAAAAAATTCATAAATCTCTATGATGCTATCATTTCTGATTTGTTATCACTGCAAATGCCAACTCGATATAGTCTGACCTTAGCTTCCTTGAGTGCTGTCGGTTCAGAAACAGTGACTATTCAACAGGAGGAAAAGCAGCTTGGTCGGCAGTCAGGTCTGAGGGCTCAGGAGACGCAATTGGACTGAGAGGAGAAACTAATTTGCTTAGACTGTTTCCTTTCTTTTCTCATTTGACTGGCTTTTTCTTTTAAGTCACAGAGACTTGATGGAATCAAACACATCAAAGTGTTATGCCCTGTGTTTTCTTGTTGTTTTCTTTTGTTTCATTCAAAAATGGAGCAAATATCAGACCCAAATTCAACCAGAAAACTGTTTTGTCCCATGGATGTATCTATCTTTGATTTTGAAGTGAAAAATGCTAACTCTTTCCTTCCATTTAGAAAGCAAATAAATATTATGGAGAAGCCATTCCCACTTCACTACCTTGGACTCCAGGAGGAAAAAATGAAAGCAATTGTGACTACATAAGCTCCGATGAATCAAATCTGACAATGGTCAGCAACGGACACCTGTGTCAGGAAGGCATTTCAGAATATCAATCAGTTCTCAGAAGTTAAGTGACTTTTATAAAAGAGTTGTATTATTATGCAGATAGGACTCTTTTTATTTGATAAGAGTTCACCTATGGAAGAGGAACTGTGGGGTCAAGAGGACACTGAAAAGTTCTCAAAAGTGAAATTCTTCATATTGGAGGATAGAGTCTAAATTTAAAGCAGATGAATATTCAAGTAAGTAGATCAGTTTCAGCATTGCATATGCTACTATGCTTATTTCTCCAATGTTTACAATAAAATACTACTTCATTAGATTTTCAGGCAATAGAAACTGTGGCTTTGTACAAAAGTTTATGGCAACTGTACAACAGTTGTAATGCATTGAAATGTCAAAGATTGATGTGCATAGTAATTGATTTCATATTGTCATGCTATATTTAGACAATTATAAACATTGCTAATCTAATGTTTCAAGGTACTTATGAACAATTAGCAATTCTGCACTAGCATCTCAAACACACTTTTGATGACAATAATATACCAAGGTAAGTTCTATAAATCCCAAAAGGGCTATCGTGTAAATGATATTAGAAAAAAATCAGAAAATAAACCTAGAGTGTTCTAGTAGTGAACATGCAAAAATTCAGTACAATTAGCAAGGAGAATCTATTGCTTTTCAATATGGTGCTTGTTTAAAATTAAAAAAAAAAGTGCCATCTGCAATACTGACTTTTTGGACTTCTACTACAATTAATGACTAACTTGGCTGTCTAGCCTTTAACATTTCTACAGTGCTTTCTCATATGTTGTAAGATCGATTATACAGAATCAAATGGAAGTGTGTGTTTGGGCACCCAAACATAAATACAGGCATACTTTAATTTTAAATGCCTCATACATACTGACTTCACTGATGTTTTTTGTGTGTATAGTGAAAGCCAATTGTCTGTGGAGGAAAACTTGACTGGGTGGAAGGAAATTAAATTGGTTTTAAAAGACTTCCTGAAATAGCAATAGCTGGGGAAAGGTCCAATAACATTTTAGGTCAGGAGTATAATGGCTTTGCCATGTTAATAAATCATGCTTTATCCTGACTTTTATCAGACGATTTGGCTGGAGAAGACTCCACATGACAGAAGGAAGGGAGAGGATCACTTTCATGGAAGCTCTGCCTGCCTCAGAATATTCTACCAATCGCCGTGCAGCTCTGGAGTCAGCTGTTGGAGAAGCTGGGTAGGTTCTATGTCACTTAAAGAATGGAATGTAGAATAATAACATATGTCTGGTAAGAAAAATTTCTAGAATAGCAATTCTTGAAGAAAAGATTAATGTTCTGGAATATTCTGAGATTTTTCAAAAGTGCTGTATAAAATAAATGTAGGAAAATCTTCACTTTTTTTTCCTGCCTAATTCCCTTCTGGAAGTTTCCCAACTTCTATGAAATGCTTGTGTGTTAAATATCAACTCTAATCAATCAGATACATGGACATTTTTTTTTCCAAGTCCCAGACTACTTAAGAGCGCATTTATAGAAACATTTATGGAAAACGTATTGTTTCATTTTCATATGTAGCAATACAAATACTTTCCCTTTGTTATCATTCAAAATGTTCACAGTCTTGTCTCCCTATGCATGTTCTTAGAGGTTGACTTCCAGCAGTTACATCTGAAGAAAGAAGGCAAAATACTCCACTGTTACTTCTACATATCTGATTGCTTACTAACTGATGAATAAATTACTTCATTGAGCTTTTCTGAAACAAATTTATGTAATTTAAACTGTACATCAGGAAATTAACCAGGTAGACTTTATAAAATGTGTTATTGTGTTGCAGTGAGAGGATTGTTAGGAAAAATGTATCTCTTTCCTTCTACTAATTATCAAATGGTCATACTATAAAATGTTGTAAGCTGTAGACGGTGTGAAGTAATGCCATGACTTTTTAGAACATCACTCTCAGAAATACTGCTTTCACTTAGTTATGGATTCAGTGGAAATCTAATATTTCTTCTATCCTGGATCTTAAATATTGAAAAGCCTTAGTTTATATTACATAATATGTATTTTAGTCAGGCAAATTACATGATCAAATTTTTCAATATTTCACTTTGGAATGTAATAATGGGCATAATTTTATCTCACACCTGCAGAAGTTTCGTCTCTCATGTCTTTCTTCAACTCTCAAACAAGTAAATTCCTATGGAATAGAAATTACCAGGGAATCTCTTCATGACACTATGTACTCACCATCTGAGGAGGGTCTCAGAAGTTGTTCATAGTTTTCCGTTATTTTATTTCTATTGGCAATACTCTGTAACACTGCCACTAATTTCTAACTTGTGATCATCAGAAATCTTGATTCCTCATGAGCTTTCATGCCAAACCTGTATTTGCTCTCTAATCTCAAATCAGCCAACTGAGATAAGATGAAGACTTTTAATTACAATTTTAATATGTAATCTAAGCTATTTGTAGATTATGCACAGAGGTGATTGTCTGTATATTTAATAACTGCACGGAGAACTTAGACAATGTTTAATTTGGTGGAGAGATTATTTTTAACTTTGGTAGAGTTGGGTTACTTTTAACATTCCCAGTGAGTGTCTGAGAAGTTATGTCAGCATGAAGTTTATTGTGTGAATGAATAACTGAATGTGGTGGTAGCATGTTCTGGGGAATATTGTAACAATCGGAACATTCTGTAATATAAAGAAGGTATCTGTTTTCCTTTCGCTTTTTTTTTTTTTTTTTTTTTTTGGAAACCTAATTTTAAATCAAGTGATATGGATGCAAAGTGATAGATACCCAATGGACTTTCAGGAGTGTTACCCTGCCCCTTACTACTATTAGTGAGTGGTGCCCCTAATCCTCAAATGTTTATTTCATAAAATCCTAGCACATGAAATGGTTGTGGTTTGTTTTCTTCCAAGAAACAGTTGGCATTTCATGTTGGACTCTTGTTTGACATGAATTATTTGGCAAATTAGGGACTGTAATGTGAATTATAAACTTAGATCTGTGTAATGGACCTCAGGGGTGTTCTAGTTACAGATATATTTTAGTAGGGACTTCAGAAAAAAATTTTTGAGACATAAATGATGCTTTTTCATACTCATGTATAAAACACGTATTTTTGCACAAGTACTGATAATTCTTTATGCACACGCACACACACACACACACATCCACACTCTTTATGGTGTATCTGTGTTTTATTTACATGTGCCTATGACTCATTGATAGTGATAACCCTCTGTATATACCTCTAGAAAATAATGGACCCTAATTGTGGGAACTGTCTGTATTCAAACATGTTAAGAGCTGAATATTTAAAATTTGTTTGGCACACCAAGCTTTGCTTTCTGAAGACAACAGAAGTGGTATAGAGAGACCAAAAAGAAAAAAAACCATAAAAGATAATAACATCTGAATGGGGCCTGGATAATGCTCTAATTAAATGTTCTTACACCTAAGTCTTATCACATGCTTAGGAGTGAGAGCTTAGATGTCTCTTTCAAACTGCAACATTAGAGATAGTCGCCGGGGCCTTGCACGGAAGCTGTCACCTCCACTGTGATTCAGCTCTGTTCTATATGTGCACCTACCTATAATCTGTCCTACTTTCTTTCACCGAGTGGGCTTCTGCTATTTTGCTCTTAAGATAATAATGTGAAATAAGGTTGTCCTTTGACCTTACAAAGATATACATGTTCTTTAAAATGGGCTTGAAAATAATCAGGTCAACCCACTTAGAAGAAGCAGGCTACAAAATTCTCTTGTTTTGTGTTTGGCTTATAGGTTATGATGAATTTAGTCAGAAACCCCGTATACTTTTCTGGTCATTCAGGTAGGTTTTGACGTCCTTTCTTTTCTGAACATGATAGAAGCTCTCCCTGAGTGGAAACCACAAGGCAGCTTTTTCAGAAGTTATCAAGTTAAGCAATTTTTACTTCTGAAAGAGTTTCTAAAGCTTATATTAATTGCTCAATCCTAACTAAATTGGCATGACTTGAAATGTTTTCAAAATGCTGGGATTAGGACAAGAGACAGTATGAAAGGAGGTAACTGTATTTTTTAGGTTGTGTGTATGTGTGTGTGTGCGCACACGCGCAGAGCTTTGAAACATCGTGCAATCTCTTATAGTTTCTTTCCAAAAAATAAAGAATACAAACCCTAGACATTTAGAAGAAGCTGTTTGGCAGTGTGCAGATATGTTCTACATGTCTCATTACCATTAACAGCCATGCATGGCTAAACCTCCCCCTATTGCACTGAGGATTTACCCTCTGGCTTTGTCAAGTGATGCCTGAGTGTGGATTTTACAAAGGAGTTTCATAACCATTTTCTGCACTATGCAGCACACCTACTATATCAGAATATGTTTCTTGGGTGAATGGTAACAATTAATGAGAACTGATATTTATTCAAAAAAAAAATCAAAGAGCTTGTATATTAAGTGTTTTGGAGATGGAGAGGTCTGTCTCTTATTTTAACTAAATGATAAGCTATTCTTCTTTTTGTTTTTCTATTCCTTGTCTTCTAGTATTGCCAAACAATCAAATGCAAGGTATTTTGTCTTGTTTCACTCCTTAAAAGAAAATCAATCAATTAATACACAAAGATAAAAGTTAGAAACCTACTGTAACCTATTAAGGTCCAGGAATTTAAAGAATGAAATGTACCTTCTTGGTCTCAGAATCCATCGGTAGACTGTAGAGTAAGTTATTTTTCTCTGACCTTCCCTAATTTTGTTTCACTGCCTTAGATATAATTTAGACACTGGTGCAGTACTGGGGCATGGGAAGTGTTTGGGGGTGCTCGATAAAGCAGTGGGGTCTAAAAAAGCGACACCAAAAAGACTCTAGCCTCTAGGGAAATAGGTCTACTGGGATGGCTTTTTGTGTAGGTTTTCAATGTGCCACACCCCTTTGCAAAAGGTTGGGACCCCTTTGGCTTCATTCACCTGGTTTGTGTTATAGTATATATATTTACACTCAGGATGTTTTGAGCAACCCTTATTTCTTTCTTTTCAAATCGGCTGCACTGTTTGTCTTGAATATCAAGGTTTTCCTATACTCGCTAAGTCTTGCTCATGTAATCTAATGCTTCATTTCTTCCCAGAAAAATAAGATATTTGCATCAAATTCAGCATTTCAATAATAGTAGCAAAAGTCCCTCTTTGTAAAAGATACAGGACTAGTTTCTGCTGTGAATTTGTCTGTATCATCTCCATTTATTTCTCGGGGGTGATGAGAAGACCTTGCATTTGACCAAAAAGCACTAGTAAATAAGGAGTTAAAATGAAGGCAGGCTCGCTGGTTTGCTATCTGTCAGAGTCTGACTGGCTGGCTACATATCTGTCTCTGGAACAATAGGTACCTGTATTCTGCACGGACTGCTGGGCAGCACTAGCACTCTGGAGAAGGTCTGCCTCTGTCTGCACTTTCCTGGTGAGAATCCCCAATGACAGTTCCACTTTTCAGTGGAGGAGAACAAAATATCTGTCTACTCTCTTGATGAAGGACAGAGCTTTGATCATTTTTGTTCAGGCTTGACTTGGCCGGAGGTTTTAGGTTCTTAGTCTCAAGTCAGCAGTCTCTCTCTCTCTCTTTCTCTCTCTCTGAAAGACACACACACACAGACGCACACACACACACACAAGCACACACATACACAAGCGCAAATCCTCTCTCTTTCTCTCATTTCCTCTCTTAGGTTCTATGCAGGCAGATGAGTGTCACAGCTGTAACTGAGGCACAGAGCAGTACACAGTGTGGAGCCGATTTCCGCGATGGCGAGAGGGGGCATTGGAGGTGACAACAATAACAAGACCGTCCTTCGGACAAGTTTTAGGTAAGAAAATATTTATGCCCTGATTCTTGTATTTCTGCACCTTGTGTCTGCAACATTGAGATAGAAAGCGATTCTGGATAGGGAAATATTTTTGTGAGGATATCATCTGTGCTGTCACTCGCCTGCAAACCTGTGTTTTCGGGGCTTTGTGTTACTGGAATCGTCGGAGGTGAAGTGTGAACGGAGCTGAGTGGAAGGGTGGGCTGCTTTTTGTGTCTGTCTGGTGATATTCGGCATGCTGTTTAAATTTATATCTGGAAAAAATTCTATTTGATGATAGTTAGCGATGTTTTGTGCAACATAGAGCAGCATATGGCCATGCAGAATTCAAGGGATGCTCTTTCATTCTTAATTTGTAATTATTTTTACACTCAACTGTACTGAGGTCAGAGAGTTTCAAAAATTAATGAGATTCCCTGTGGAGTTCAAATAGTAAGATCTACATAAGCTGCCACAAAAAAGATAAGATTATGATGGTATTTTTTCAACATAGATTTAACTGTCTTATTTGGAACATACTCCATTTGAAATATATATGAACTGTTTAATAGTTTATGGAAGTCTACACGTTTTGGGGGATTTGTCCTAATTTTTTTAATGACCAGGAGAAATTGACTCAAAATTAGACTTTAGAGGATGAATACTTTGTGTAGAGAGATTACTAAAACTTAATAGACGTTATTGTTATGGCAATAGAGAATATCTCATACTTTCGAGGAAATGAGAAATAATGAATGAGTCGCACGCTACAAAGAAATCTGCAAATGTGTTTTCATTTTAAGTAATACAAAAAAAAAACACTCAGCAGATATTTAGGGTGAAACATTGCTGGCATGAACAAAGAAACAAGTGCACACATAGATGAGAATTCTTTGTCACAAAAATGAGTCCAGGGCATCGATTCAGGAGGTTAAGTGATTTTTATGTTCTCAGTGCCCCACAAAAGGGAGTCTACTGGGATGAGTCCAGACATTTAAAAATGTACCAAAAACTTTCATTTCCCACAATTTAAAAACATTGTTTATGTTCCTGATACAACACATTGTTTAAATGAGGGGGACCGAAAAGCAGTCTGAATATACAGTAATCGGGGCTAAAGATGGTTTTTATCCCCAGGTCCCCATTTACAAGACCCATTCGGAGCTTCCTGTGATATATTGTTATGTAAATACTGTTCAGCCAGGGAAAGCAGTACTATGGAGATTCAATTTACTTTGAAAGTTGTTCATTATAGCAGGGATGAATGTTATTTATTTGATGTGATTCAAAGGCTGGAAATGACTTTTTCATTGTGGCGCCTTTTGTAATGGGTGCAGGGTGATCTAATCTTTTTAATTTTGGCTTTCACACCAGTGGAGATGAAAAGAGATCTGAACTCATTTATCGGTTGCTAGGTCCTTCTGGAGGCCCAAGTCCTGTTCGTGGTTGCTATGGCCAGTCTGACCTCAATCTCCGTGGTTTTGGGGACTTAGCAGTCTTTTTTTATTGAGGAGCATGTACCTTGATTTATGTCCAAAATTGTGGCTGAACGTCTTTGTCTGCAAGTGATAAATGGTGCCGAGCAATTCATCAGTTCTTACAAGTAAACACTGCTGTCCCACTAAAAATATGTTTTGTTCTGAGTTAATGGTATGGAACAAGGCAGCCTCTACAAACAGCTATCTTTTATTGTGGAGGGGCCACTGAAACTTGGAGCAAAGTGGAGGAAATTGGCATTCATTTTCTTGTACATTAGCATTTCATTTGTGATTCCGATGATGCAGCTCTAGGTGGATTGCCTATGAAAGGGTGAGCCTTCCGTGTCCTTTACCTTCTCTCTAGTTGGGGTGCCTGTGAAACCGACAGGCTCTCTCCAAAAGCCTGGATTCTGCTGGGGGAGTAAGAAGTCAGGAGTAGTTTGTCTGATGATATTGGGCTCTGCTTTGCAATTGCCAAGCGCTAAGGCACAAGCTGGCAGATGTGTTGTGACTCTGCTGCGGGCGGCTCTGTTGCCTTCAGTCGCAGGCTGCTTCTTTGAGGGAAAGTTGTATCCAATATTGGTGACTCCCGGTAATATTCTGCTTGTGAGCTACTTAATGGTCTCTGGGCTTCCTTGCCTTCTAGAACCTTGTTAGAAAGGAGCCGTGGTGATTAACAGGCTGTGGAGCATACAGCCTTGCTTAGCAGATGAGCCCTGATACATTTCCCGTGTCCTTAAAAATGGCTAATTGATGGATGCTGCAGAAAACATCCACTCTGTTAATAAGATGGTGATGACAAAATAGGTATCAGGAAAGGCATTTATTGCTTATAAGCGCCATCAGCTTCCTTCCAAGAGAGATTGTGGCTTTGTAGTAAAGAAGTTATTATTATTATTTTTTTAAGTAGTATCCTAATAGTTTTGTTCTAAATCGGCCAGCGCTGAATGTCTTCAGGAAAATGGGTTCCATGAGAAGTGACATCCTCCTCGAATCAAAAGGTAAAAATTCAACATTTTTAAAAGTGCAATTTTCAAACCATTTCATCTGCTTCTTACCAGTAGCATTGGAAAACTGCCCTCTAAATATAATTATTTAAAATTTGATTTTTTTTAACATTAAAGGTTTAAAGAGAACAGCTTAGAGAATTTGATTGTTAGTCATTTTCTGAAGATTGGCCAGCTTTGGCAATAAAATGTGATCAGGTGCTTCCTATGTTTCCTTTCGATCTTGAAAATAAGCAGCTTTTTATTTCTTTAGAGAAAATGATCATTTGGAGATCAATAAAATTAAGCTTTATTTGATGTGGATTTTATTCTAGAACTAGTAAATTAGGAACCAGGGTTAGGTGATGTCAAAAGGTCTCTTTTGGCTTGAAAATTCTTTACGAAGTACCAGTTTTCTGAAGGAACCAATAACCATGACTATATTATTGTAATTGCACTTATTCAACTAATGTTAAGTTTTCTTTAGTAGGGCATCAGCAAAAGTTCCATGCTTCGGTGTACAAATAATAATTGTGGCTTGAAGTAATTTCGAAATAATTAATTTTTGAAGGTATTAAAAAAAACCCTGATATGTTAGTGCTTTATTAATGCTGGGATTTTATAGAGCTTAACTTGTGGCTCCTTTACTTGGGTTTCTTACTTCATGTCTTCTTGAAGGTAAAATTTTATATAAATGGCTAATTTCCCAAGAAATATTTAACTTTAGGTGTCCGGAGACAAGCACTCTTCAGTATGTATCTATGTATGTATATGAACACATTTTAATATAAAATGTCTTATAAATTTCACATTGTGTTTTGCTTTGCTGCTATTTCAAAGGATTTAAGTGAATGGTGGATAGTGCTCAATTTCCTGAAATGATTAAATTCACTCTCTGAAGAATCTGGGGAAAAGGCCTGTAATGACATTTTGATGACTTTCATTTTAAGGTGTAATAGAAATTGAATAAAATGTTTTAATAGCTATTCTCTAATATCTCGTTCCAAATACAATGTTTTTATTGCTCATTCTAGCTTACAATTTTCTGGTGATAATAATGTTGGCTGGTAATTGTTTTTGTGTAGAAATCATTTTATCCTTATGTAAAAGTTATTTCAGAAAAGTCTTCATGCATTTATCTCAGCTGAAGCAATTTGCATTGAACTCTTGAGATAAAACAGTGAGTATTTCCAGATTGCGCCTACTTTAATTTGACACTTCCTTAGGAGAATTAGGGGTGTCTTAAAGGGAAGAATATTTGATATGATAGTTGTGGTTTAAGGAGAAAAAACAAAGAGGCATGCAAGTTAGAGAAAGCTAAGAAAAGAGAAGGAAAGAAGGAATAAAAACTATATGCGATTTTACCTTGCTTGGTTTTACTTTGTGTGCCAAATGTCATATATGTTTTAAAATTTAAAATTGGACTAAGAAATGAAAAATGTATGTAAATATGCTGTTGTTATATCTTTCTTTATTAAATAGGTAAGTACAGAGATATAAACTTAAAAAGATTACAGCTAATGTTACCAGGAACATCTTTGCACCTCAATTCTTTCGGGAGATGTACACAAGTAAAGTTAATCACATAGCTTTTAAAGACTCAAATCTTTTGGGAACTAAAGTTGTGACATATTAGATCAATTTTCATGTAAGTCAAAATGAAATTTTTACATCAATTTTTCTGTGCAAGTTACACAAAGCCAACAGCTTCCAGACTGCATTGTTCTAAATGCTAATTAGATAAATTTTTATATAATTTAACTTGATTATAGTGAATAGTCAGAATATAATACTGCTGAATTAACACACCATTAGTGCAATTTTTTATAAAAGTAAAATTAAGCTCTGACATCTGATTACATTATGCTCTACTGATATGTTTACTACATTTCTCCAATTTTGCTTTCTTTTTGTCATTGTGTTCCCTTTTTAAATGTCAATATTATAGACCAGCTAGTATAATACTTACTTATAGTTTCTTTCTGCCTACTATAATTCTGCCTTTGTCTGTGTGGTGTGCCATTATTCTTATCTGTCACCTAGAAAGTTGTATTGACTTTGAAGCTATTTATCTGACCCATTTGTCTGAATTTGGGTGAGGTGGGGGAAAGGCTAAAACTGGTTTCATTAGAAATTGTGTATGAAGTGCTAAAAGATTTGAGTTGGCCTTGGGATGTTTACAGGATTGATATTAGGATATGGATTTTCTTAGCAGTGGCCGGTTATGTGTATAATTCAATAAAATATTTTCTTTAGTTCTCTTGGTTTATTTTCCACAAAACAGAGCATCATCTAGGAAATTTATTATAGAGAATGCACTGTCAGGGAGGGACCCTCTTAGATAGCCAGTAAAAATATCACTCCAAGTTAGTGTTCCATCTTGTTGGCACGGATACACAGTAAAGCTTTATCCACAGGTTTTATATTTAATAATCTTCATGATCCAACAGCAAATTTTAATTTGTATCACTATCATTTGGATAGCCATTGTTTAAATGCTACCAGAATGATTTAAGAAAAAAAGTTATGCTAAAAAGCTTAATTACACACTCTAGCACTCACTAATAATTTATTCAGATTTTAAAATGTGAACATTGTATTTGCTTAATGGTGTTGATAATCTCTTTTTCAAGAGAAGGGTTATATAGACTCATTATGTCCCTGAATCCTTCTAAAGTTGCTAGACTTTATGATGCTAAAATACTATAGTGTATAGTGTACCAAACCTTTTGGCATCCTTAATAATATTTCCAAGCCATGCATTCATGCCCTTTATGTTACTTGTCATTATTTAAGCACAGTGTGCTTGTGATTTATAAGCTGTGAATTTCCTGTGTTTTCCTGACTATTGAGTTCATAGTTCAAATGCAGTTACTGAAGTATACTAGTAGGTTAGTAGTTTCCTTAGAGAGAGACAAGGTAGCACACAGTCATCTGGAACATGTGGTATGTAGTTAGTTATCATGATCTCAAGTGTTTTAACATAGTTTACTGTAGAGATCTGAAAAAATACAGAATTTCCAGAACATATTTGAAGAAGAATTCAATTTGCTAGAAACTGGAAACGTGGAAGTCAAATGAAATATTTAAAAAATCTCCTCCTATATGGATTTAAAAAGCATCCATTCACTCATTCATCAAATGTTTATTCAGTGCCTACCGTGTGCCAGACACTATTCTTGTGGCTCCTGATTTGTTACCATTAGTTCAGTATTTAATATATTTGCCTGATTTTGTAGATTATGGGAATCTTACTAGTGATTTATACATCATCAGTGCATCACACATCGCAATCCATATTATTTTGGAATGTCTATTTCTCTTTTCCACTCTTTAAATGGCTTAAAATATATTCTAGGCATATATACCAGTTTAGTAAAAGGGGAAAGATTTATACAATCTGAAGAGAAACCAGAGTATATATATACCAATTTAGAAGAAGATATTGGTAAAACAGTCAGAATGTGTTTCAGGACGTTTTCTTACTGATATGTATTTAGAAAGTCTAAATTCATCCCATTTTCCTTATTATTCAGGCCCACTCTGCAGCAGACACTAAATTGGTTTTATTGTTTTTATGCTTCCTTCCAATGCTTCCTGTATTATTTTAAGGGATTTCTATTCTAATTATGAATGGCTAACATTTACCTTCTATACGCAAGACAGTGTGCTAAGCCCTTTACCTTCATTTTCTAATTGAATCTTCTCAATCACTTTATGAGAGTGGTAGCATCATTACTCCTGTTTGTAGATAAAGAAACTAAGGTTTCAAGAACTTAAATAACTTCTTCAAGGTCACAGAGCTAATAAGCAGCTGCGATGACTTAAAATCTAGGTCCTTCAGGTGCCACTAACTTTTCTTGTTATTCACCAAATATTATTGAGCCTTTATAATCTCCTGGGCTTATTCAAGATGTTCAGAATAAAGCAGTGGATAGAACAGGCTTTAAAGCCCTGGACTTTATTGCCCAAGTCAATGCCCTTAGAATACAGGTGCCTCGTAACTACCTTGATGCTTTTATTATGTTATTTCCTTCTGCGTTCAGGGATTCCCCAGAGCCAATAGGATACAATTTTAAAATGTCAAACCTTTTTAGATCTCTTACCATTTGGGTTCAGTCTTGCTTTCCAACTATATCATTGGCTATTTCTAAATAGGAGTGTTCTACACTGGAAGGCTGATTTTTCCTTGCTCCCACAAAGTTTGTCTTGCATTTTCTCTGGTCATTCCTGCACCTGAAATAATTTTGCCACTGCCTTCTTAAAGCCTTCCAACCTTCTCTGTCTGGGTCAAAGCCCGTGGCTCTCAGGAAGCCTGTCTTAGAAATAAAGTCTCAAGATTCTTTGATCTGCATTGGTTATTTGACACATGACATTTGCAAACCTAAAATGATTCGAGGCTAGATAATGCTCCACATTTTTTGTGTGCCTGTGTTTGTAGGTGTGCCCAGGAGACATACTGGCTAAGAGTTCAGGGAACTAGCAGTGAAATAAGAGAAGAATATAGAAAAGATAGGACCCAAAGACTTGGAAGTAAAAGCCCCCACTGCCTAGCACAGTGCCTGGCATAGAGTATGCAGCTGATACATTTTTAGGCCAGGAGAAGGAGAGGAGGGGAGAAGGGGAGAGAGGAGGAAGGGCATGACAACTGGAGGGAAGCTAGCAGGAAGAGAGAAAAACATGCTCCAAAAATCACAACCTAAGGCCTTTAAAGACCTTTAAGTATTTATATTAGGGTTAGAGATCTCATTAAGGAATATATGGATATATGCACTACGTTTTTGCTTCTTCCTGGAATAGATTGCCACTTTTATCAACATTAATACATTTGATATAAAATGCACTTTCTGATGTTTCCAAGGGAAAGTCCAATTGTGCTGTGTTTGTGTTTTTTTCGTCACAATTCAGGCCTACAGGGCTGTTAACTTCTAAGCTGATTTTGCTGTTTTACACTGTAGATGATTATTTTTCTATTTTCTGTGACATATTTCAGCATTACAAAAGTTGCTGACCAC